CAAATAACCCAATTAAAAAATGGGCAAAGGATATGAACAGGCACTTTGCCAAAGAAGATATTCAGGCAGCTAAAAGACACATGAAGAAATGCTTATGATCATTAGCCATTAGAGAAATGCAGATCAAAACTACAACGAGATATCCTGTCACCCCAACAAGGCTAGCATTAGTCCAAAAAACACAAAATCATAAATGCCGTAGAGGTCGTGGAGAGACTGGAACACTTATACACTGTTGGTGGGAATGTAAAATGGTACAATCATTTTGGAAATCTATTTGGCGCTTCCTTGAAAAGCTAGAAATAGAAGTACCATATGATCCAGCTATCCCGCTCCTTGGAATATATCCTAGAAAAATAAGAGCCATCACACGAATAGATACATGCACACCCATGTTCATTGCAGCACTGTTCACAATAGCAAAAAGATGGAAAAAACCTAGATGCCCATCAATGGACGAATGGATAAACAAATTATGGTATATCCACACAATGGGATACTACGCAACTCTAAAGAACAATGATGAAGCCGTGAAACATCTTATAACATGGAGGAAGCTGGAGGTTGTTATGCTGAGTGAATTTAGTCAGTCACAGAAAGACAAATACTGTATAAGACCAGTACTGTAAGAACTCAAGAAAAGGTTTAAACACAGAAGAAAACATTCTTTGATGGTTATGAGGGTGGGGAGGGAGAGGGAGGGTTATTTACCAACTAGATAGTCGATAAGAATTATCTTAGGTGAAGGGAAGGGCAGCACACACTACAAGGGAAGTCAGCACAACTGGACTAAACCAAAGCTAAGAAGTTTCCTAAATACAATCAAACACTTTGAGAGACAGAGTAGCAGGGGTAGGGGTCTGGGGACCATGCTTTCAGGGGACATCTAGGTCAACTGGCTAACAAAGCTTATTAAGAATATGTTCTGCATCTTACTTTGGTGAGTGGCATCTGGGGTCTTAAAAGCTTGCAAGCGGCCATCTAAGATGCAGCAATTGGTCCCAAGCACCTGGAGCAAAGGAGAATGAAGAACACCAAAGACACAAGTAAAGTATTAGTCCGAGAGACAGAAAGGGCCACATAAACCAGAGACTTCATCAGCCTGAGACCAGGAGAACTAGATGGTGCCCAGCTACCACCAATGACCGCCCTGACAGGGAACACAACACAGACTCCCCGGATGGAGCAAGAGAAAGGTGGGGTGCAGAACTCAAATTCTAGTAAGACCAGACATAGTGGTCTGGCTGAGACTGGAGGAACCCTGGAAAGCATGGCCCCCGGATTCTCTATCAGCCGAGAACTAAAACAGTTTTTCGAGGCCAACTTTTCAGACAGGGATTGGACTGGACTGTGAGACATAAAGTGATACTTGTGAAGAGTGTGCCTCTTAGCTCAAGTAGATACAAGAGACTAAACGGGCAGCGTCTGTCTGGAGGTGAGATGGGAAGGCAGAGAGGGTTAGGAGCTGGTTGAATGGACATGAGGAATCAGGGGTGGAAAGGAGGAGTGTGCTGTCACAGTATGGGGAGAGCAATTAGAGTCACATAACAATGTATGTATAAATTTTTGTACCGGAAAAAATAAAAAATTAAAAAAAAAAAGTTCTTAGCATAGTGCCAAGCACAGATGAAGCACTTCATCAAAGGCAACTTTTTTTTTTTTCCTTCTTAATTGTTGGCCAAGAGTAAACAGTCCTGTCTGGCACTCAAAACATGGGGAAAAATACAGGTAATCTTATTCGGTTATATGTGTTTATGTATAAAATTAAAAATATTCTAAATGCCAAAAAAAAAAAAAAAATGCGGGTGGGAGAACCTGTTATCTGAGGCAGAGTTTAAGTGATACAAGATCAGAAAATAGAAAACAGAATTTCTGTGCAATTTAGTTTGTACTTTATAGTCCTGAATTAAAAAAAAAGAAAAATCAAAGTAAGCAGAAAGGAAAAACTAGACAGTCTTCAATTCCTCTTTTTAAAATCTATCAGATTTTAAAATATTATTTTCCAAAATGAACACATTCAACTTTGAAAACAAGATAGATATAG